TTTAAAAGTTTTTGGGGGGGGGGGGGGAGGTCGGGGAGGGGGTCTTCAAGTCACTTGTGTCGTCAGGGTGTGACTTGGAACATTTAGACGGGTCTTTGGGGTTCAGAACATGACTTATTTCTTTAAGGCTTGACTTAGGGCATAAGGAAGGACATTTTGAGCAAGTGACTTGTGTCATCATAGGTAAACAGAATTTGACTTTACGAGTCAGGGCGTAATTTGGGGCATAAGAAAGTCACTATCGGAGCCAGCTATTGCCCTTAAGAGTAAGTGACGTGACTTGGAGCGTCAGGGAGTTTCAGGGGTGAATAAATTAAGAATTAAAAAAAATTTTTTTTACTAAGGTTCTATACACGTTAAATATCAGATAATTCTACAGGATTTGTCAAACTAAATATTCTAATGCCCTTTTGAGGCGACCAAAGACGAACATCAAGTTTTGTTTCATTGTAAACAATTATTCAATGACGTGATGTCGCCAATACAAAATTTTTAGTTATCTTAACTCGTCTTAAAAAAAGAAAAACTCTTTGAGATCAATAACAGTATAAAAATATGACGTCACTTTTCAAATCAACAGGGAGTGTTGTGTCGGTAATATTTCTAGTGGCCGTGACCTTCATACACTCTGACCTCAGGTGGGTTGCCGCGGCCCTTATGTGTGTCGTGATGCTGTCCCAGTGCGTGAACGCCGTGATAATGCCGATATTAGCTCTGGACATGGCGCCCAGGTAAAACAAACACCCGATGCAATGTTAAGTTATCAAGCGTTATATGAATAAAACACAAAACCTAATTTTTCCCCCTACCCCCTCACAAAACCAACCTACCTTTATCCCAAAACCCACTTTGTTCTGACTTTCACATCCTCTTTGATTTGACTTTTTACCGTCTCACTCCACCCACATTGTTTTCTACTGCCCCCCGCTCCCTTAACATAAATGCTCTTCTATCGACCCATTGAACAGTGAGCTCTGAACTCACACTGGCACATCCCACACTCAACGATTTTCTTCTAAAAAATCTCCCAAGATCCTCACACTCTCCTCTTTATTTCTACTCGCGCCCCTCGTTTCAAGTTTCCTCGTGTACTGTTTACTGGGATTTTTTTTGGCCCATCCACATTTCCATTTTACTTTTGAGAACAATTTAGCAGGATTACCTTAAACGTCAGTACGCCTGGCCACTTTAGATCCAATGCATGAAAACAATTGGGAACTAAACCATCGGTTCAAATTAAGGATACCTGGAGGCGTTCTCGCTTGTCTGCTTGTCTTTCAGGTACGCGGGATTCATCTCTGGCGTCGCAATGTCCATAGCGTCTGTCGTGGCCATCCCTGGCCCTCTGATGGTTGCTGCATTGACGCCGACGGTAATTGATAAAAAAATTAGTTTTAGCATTTTTACCCTACTTATCATGAAAGCTGTTCGATTCTTAGATATAATGTATTGTATTAAAGCAAATAAATCATATCTAGTTGCAAATATCTCAGAACTGTGAAGGACTAAAAGGGCTGAAATGGATGTATCAGTATCACGCCCAGTGTTTAAAATTCCCTCGATCCGTAATTGACATCTTTTAAATCTTAGTTGTACTGAGGTTTTTATTAATAGAGCAAAAAAATAAATAAAACGGCATTAAAGTTATTTCCAGTGTTTTTTCAATCATCTCTTCGGCGGGGGGGGTGGGGGGGAGAGAGAAGAACCTCCTCAGATCAATCAACCCCCCCCCCCCCCCTTCGGAGAAAATGTGGACAACAAAAGCGGAAATTCATTAAAAAAATTTTTATAAAAATATAAAACGGCATTAAAGTTATTTCCAGTGTTTTTTCAATCATCTCTTCGGCGGGGGGGGTGGGGGGGAGAGAGAAGAACCTCCTCAGATCAATCAACCCCC